GCGGGGCGCACCTGTGCCGCCCTGGGAGTGAGGTGGTCCCGGCGGGGACCTCAGATCGCCTGCGGGCCAGGCGGACCCCGGCCCCACCGAGGGTCCCCAGAGCACACTCCATGGGAAGGGGTCGCCAGAGCGACTCCGGCCGGAACCCCTGCCGCCCCCACTTGTGGCTGGACCTCTGTGCATCTTGGTTCCTCTTCTGTGAAACGGTGTCACCAGGGGTTCCTAACCCAAGGACAGTTACTGTGAAAGTTAACGAGATGACATATGTTGGCTGGGATTTTGTGCACCCCCTTAAAAACACCACCACTCAACTGACACCCAACACAATTTGGTTTATTAACTTTCTGGAGGCTACAGGGGCGCACAAAAGATGGATCTCAGTAGAGAGTTACTGTCTCCATTCTCTCTGAGCACCCTCTGGGCTCCAGGGGTGTCTAACCTGTAGGCCAGATGCTGATTTTGTGAGGACTTTTTATTGCTTATCTGTGGAGTTGGATATTACGAAAAGTATGCAGAGACCTTTAAAAAATTTTTTTTTGCTAATCAGTGCTAATTGTTACTGTTTGTGTATTTAATGTGTGGCCCAAGACAATTCCTATTCTTCCCAAGTGCAGCAGATGAGAAAAAAAAACAAAAAGTTTGGATTTATAGTCCTTTTCCCAAGTCCTAGAAGGAATGTTACAAGCTCTTTTCCTCACTCTGAGGGGGCCCCAGCTTAACTGAGGACACGCAAGAGCCCAGCTCTTCATGGAGCTCAAAATCAACAGCAACCAACAGTACTGGTGGGAGAAGGGGTGCCAACTGTCAACATGGCTAAAATCCTGGGTCTACCGGGCACATCTTGCTCAGTTCCCTAATCTAGTTCGCAACTGGATGAGATGGCTGGTGACCGACCCTAGGAATGAGGGCCTGGGAGGGGGAGAGGCAGGGGGAGGAGGCAAGGCTCTGTTGGTAGTTGCCATGGTTTTTTCCGAGTTCTGGAGCCCACCTGCCCATTTCCTGAGAGCTCAGCTCACAGAGCAGAAGGTCAGAAGCCAGAGGGAACGTGAGGTGTGCCACCATGGAGCCCACTCACACACCTGTTGAGATAGAGGCTTCAGACCTGCAAGGGAGTGAAGGGGATAGTCCGCCAGAGAAGGTGAAGTGGGGCTGGGGATGAGAGGGAGGGAGACAGGGAAGGAGGATCACTGGGCAGCTGGTTTCAGAAAGCAGAGAAGTGAAATCCAAGGACAAGGGAAGAGGGAAAAATGGTAGGGCACGTGAGTTAGCAAGAGGCCTAAAGAGCAAGAGGATGTTAACTCATTCAGACAGATGTTTATCAAAGCCGTGTATTCCTGGCAAGGTGATTGGAAGGGACCACATCTCACTAGTGGTTCTGAAGCCTGGCATGTGAGCACACCTGTGTGTCTGTGCATGTGTGTACATGAGGTCTGTGTGTGTGGTTGTGTGGAGTGTGTGCAGTTTATGGAGCTGGCCAGCCAGAGTGCCCTCTGGGGCCTGGAGGTGCCTGTGTCCAATCTCCTCTCCCTTTCAGAGCCATCTGGGTACGGGCCTTCCTGGTTCTCTGAACACAGATAGGAACTAATGTTCAGCTTTCAGAGAGGCCTTTGAATGGTGAAGTGCAAATTCAGTCCTGTCAATATAGTCTTGTGTTCTGAATTCTAGTATTATTTTTCACTTTGTCTCCACTAATTATTATCTTTTTTTTTTTTTGCCCTACTTTTGCTATTAAAAGACTCTTTCTCATCATCACCATCACCCATTTTTTTCTGAGTGCCCCTTAGATACACGGCCAAAGGTTAGGAATGCAGAGAGGTGGGCCTGGGACTCGGGTGATCAATACTTGTTTGCTGAATGAGGGAGTAACTGAACCCCTGCTCATTCCCTCCAGGACTCGTGTAAATCTTTTGGTGCCTCAATATTCTCATTGTAACCAGGGATCATATCTAACCTCTCAAAATTTGTAGGGAAATAAAATGAGTGAATGTTTATCAGGTGTGTTGCAGTTACCCAGTGTAACATGTGATGATTATTGTAAAAGAAATAGGTAGAATATTCTAGTTTCTCTAAGCAGAGATTTTCTGAGGTGGGTTTCTTTGGGGCTCACTCACATCAGTGCTGAGATAAGAATGGGGTCACAGGGACAATGGAGAAGGGGTCTGGCTACCATTTGGGCAGTGCTTGGCCAGAGCTGCCTTCATGAACAGTGGCCCAAGCCCTCAGCTGACTTGCCTCTGTCTCCTCCCAGGTGACAAATGTGCCCTGCTTAGAGAAGAGCTCCAGCACCGTCCCGGCAAGAGACCCACTCGTGCGCCATGCCAAGGGTCTGGGCCAGGACACCTTCAAAATTGTAAGGGACCAGCTTGGAACCGTGTTGCCTATTTCCCATGAGTCAGGAGACATGGGTTAGGAATTGGCAGGCCTCAGACCCATAGCTCACTGCCCCACTTGTCATACTTTTGGAAAGGAAGTGGGATGAGAGGTCCTCTCTAGCCATCTCACTAAACACACACAACCCTTCCTGGGCTACTAATGGCCACAACCAGGCCAACCTGCTCAGTGCTTGGGGCTGCCCATCTGCCTCTTCTTTTCACCCATGGCCCCTTGCCTCACCTGTTGCCTTCTCAGTGTAAAGAATACCTAAGGCCGCTGAAGAAGTTCCTGCGAAAGTTGCACTTGCCCAAGGATGTGCCTCAGAGGAAGAAGCTGAAGTACATGAAGGAGAGCCTGGTGGTCCTAGGGGACCACATCAACACCTTTCTGCAGCATTACTGCCGAGCATGGGAAATCAAACACTGGAAGAAGTAGGGCAGCCTCCTTGCCCTTCCCCACATCCACCTGGCCACCCCCTCTCCATGCAAGATGCCCAAGTCTTTCATCTTTATGTGGAGGAGTCAGGATCCTGGAGGGGGCAGAATGGGAGGAGTGAACAGGGTCCCCCTAGTCACTGATTGCACCTGTACACACTGTGGACAAAGATGTCTCCTGAACCCTGAGGAGAATGACCTTGGGATAAACAGCTATGGTGTGCAGGTGCTCATCACCAGGACAGGATATCCCGCTGCTTCACACAACCCCCAACTTTGACCCTAAAGCAAGCATATGGCCCATAGCTCCCTGGGCAGGTCCTGGCCCCAAGTCAAATGTTGGAGGGGAGAGGGCTGCGGCTCCCTCCCTCAGCCTCTGGCTTCTCCTCTGCAGGATGCTCTGGCGGTTTGTCTCCCTCTTCTCGGAACTAGAAGCGAAGCAGCTTCGCAGGCTCTATAAGTACACCAAGAGCAACCAGAACACCAAGTTTCTGGTGAGCACGGGAGAGCTCCCCCTGGGCCCAGCTGAGGGCTGGCTGTTGTGTTCTTAGACTGTGGCGGGAGGCCTGGGGCTGGTGGCCCTCTGACACCACCACACTCCTCTGCAGCTTCCGCAGCTCACTGACACAGCACTACCACTACTTTACCCTGCAGAGAGGCTCAGGGTCCCATTCTCTGCGTGTCTCCATCCTCCACACATACACCCTGATGCCAACAGGGGCAGGGACAGCTCTGAGGAGCCATGGGTGCAGATAGTTGAGGCCAGGCAGAAAGGCATGACCCCCTTGGGGAAGTCTCCTGGGACTGTTGACAGGCCCTGGCCTGGCTTTGTTCAGTAACCGTGGTTCTCAAATGTTTTGGTGTTAGGCTATGTTTACCTGCTTAAATATCATTGAGAACCCCAAAAAGCAATTCACCCACCTCAGCCTCCCAGAGTGCTAGGATTACAGGTGTGAGCCATCACGCCCAGCCATTCTATAGGTTTTGACAAGAGTATGATGGCATGTGTCTGCCCTTACCGTATCACACAGAATAGGTTCACTGCCCTACCCCCCAACCCCCAAGCTCAACCCACAAGTCCCTGGCAACCACTAATCTTAGGTTCACTGCCTCCATAGTTTTCCTTTCCCAGAATGTCATATACTTGAACTCATACAGAATGTAGCCTTTTCAGATTCGTCTCAGTGAACGTTTCACACTAGATTTCATTAGAATCCATTAGTTTTTCTCTTGCACTTTACCTAGACTCCACTTTTCAAGGGGTCTGTATAGTCAAAATATCTTAGGGCCCCCAGCACACCTTGAGAGCCAGTGGTCCAAGATAATCAGAGGCAACCATGGTAAAAGCCTTCCATGTTCTAGGCACTTCAGGGTCCCCTCGTGTAATCTTCAGAAGTAACCCTGAATGGTAATTAGGATGATTGTCCACAGTCTGTCAATGAAGATTCCCCGATACAGGGCAGTCAGGTAAACTTGTCTCAGGCCACATGGCAAGGGGGACGGGAGAGACAGGATTCCACCACCTCTGACTCCAGCTAGCCACCTACCACTGCTCCTGCTGGCAGCTTTAACCCGGCCCAAACCCTCCCTGCACCTCTGCTTCTTCCTCTGAACATGAATGGTTGGATCACTTTACTGATTCCTCCTCTGAGTATGAGGAGCTGCCACTTTCCTGATTTCTAGATTTCTGGATTTCACTGGCTAGAAAAATTTCAAAACCTATCTTCAGGCTTTCAATTTAAATATTACTAAGTTAGGGCTTTAAGACAAATACCACTGTTTCATTACCAACCGATAAGACATTACAACTCTGGGAAGAGATGGGGGATGTGATTGCAAAATAAAGGGCACCCCAAGAAGACACAACTGGCAGCCCAGCCTTAACGTCCCCAAGGTCACTGCTTCCTTTTGGCTAGGGAGTGTGAAGTGCAGCCAGATCTCAGCAGTGTCTTAACCAGCACAGGGCCGGGACTTCAGAATGAAGGCTCCTCTCCTACCTGTAGCCAACACTGTGGCCCTGTTGCAGGTGGCATTCTCGCCCTCAGCCACACCTGACAGGTCCCTGCTAGCTGGCCGGGAGGACAGTCTGCCCAAGCTTTGCAATGCCTGGGGGCTACACAGTGACATCAGCGGCATGAAGGAGAGGCTTTCCAAGATGCAGACCCCAGGTCAAGAGGCCTCCCTGCTGGGGAAGCCCCAGTCCCAGGCCTATGTCAAGAGAGGTAATGTCCCCGCCCCGTGTCAAGGAATGCCTGGGTGAGGGGGTTTGCGAACCGCGTCTGGGTGTTCCCTGGAGCAGCCAGGAGCCTCTGCCCTGAGCCTGACAAGTTCTTCTTCCTTCCTTTCTGTCTTCTCTTCCTCCTGTAGTTTTCTTTCTCATCGCTTTACTCCCCACTAGTGTGCTCATGAAAGAAAGTTTCAAAGGTACCAGTGGGCGGCGCCTGTGGCTCAAAGGAGTAGGGCGCCAGCCCCATATGCCGGAGGTGGTGGGTTCAAACCCAGCCCCAGCCAAAAATGGCAAAAAAATAAAAATGAAATAAAATGTACCAATGAGGGTGAAAAACAAGAGAGGAAAATCACTCACCCCAGAGGCAGCCACTGTTAACATTTCAGTGTTTCCTTCCGTGTTCTGTATCATTCCCCCCAGCAGAGGTCTCATAATATGGACAGTTTCGAATCCTGCCCTTTTCAGTTAACATTAAAACAAAGGCACTTCCTACATGACTAGAAGCAGAGTAGAGGCAGTTTCTAAGTGGCCATGAGTGTGGACTCTCAGGAGGTGTCGCAGCAGCAGCAGGACACCCGCAGGACACCCGCAGGACACCCGCTGTCAGGATCGGGTGGGGCCCAGGGAGAAGGAAGGGATCTATTCCTACAGGGAGTGGGACGTCTAGACAGGCTGGGAGGGGCCTTCCCAGCAGCCTTGGCCTCTGTGGTAACCACAGTGCCTGGCTCTCTGCATAGAAGCTGTGGGGTTAGGTGACAGAGCCTCTTTAGTGACTGGGGTCCACAGCCGGGAAGGGCCTGTCCTGTGCACCCAAACGCAGAGAAATGTTGCATCCATGCATGCCTCACTCTGCTGGAACTGGCTTCTGGGGCCACAGTGAGCCATCCTTGCTCAGCTACTACTAGGGAAGGTAAAGGCAGGCAGGGTGACCTGCGATGGACCCAGGTGTTCCTCTCTATGCCTGGCTGGCCGGAGTTAATGCAAGGCAGCAGGCCTCACCACCAGTCCCACCTGGACCCAGGGAAGAGTGGGAGTGACAACAGGGCAGTGGTGGTTAGCATGGGTTGCGCAGCCAGTGAGGCCCAGAACCCTGCCTGGGTTCCCAGGACCTTCAACTGAGGAAGTAAAACATAATAGGACTTTAAAGAATGAAAACCAGTCCATAATTAAGATGCCAGAGGCCAAGTAGTCCAGGAATCAGATGAGGAAAGTGAGCTCTGGACTTCTGGGCCAGCTTTGGTCTGTAACGGGTCCTTTGTATCTGTTAACCCCGCAGCCTCCTGATGAGATGGGTCTTATTACCCCTCCCCCTTAACAAATGCGCTGTCTGAGGCCATAGGGCAAAGGGTAGATTAATCAAGGCCGTAAGCTTGAGACAGGCGTTAAAGAAAAGGATAAAAGGAGGTGGACGAAGGAGGGGAGAGAAGAGTGGAAAGAAAGGTTTGTGCCAAGGTTGAGGGGCAGTGGAGCTTGGTGGAGAATGGGAGAGCAGCGTGGAGAGGTGCAGGAAGGAGAGTAACAGGAAAAAGCCTTGGATGGTGGGTTCAGAAGTTTGGGTTTTGTGCAATTTATCAAAGTTAATATCTTTGTTGTTACTATAAACATAACACATAGGCAATTAGATGGCACCAAAAATACAAATTTCAACATTGCCATCGCTACTGTTGACTTTCCAGATCTTTTTGACATATACAAATACAGCAGAACCTCTGCAAGTCGACCACGCCAGGCACTGTAACAAACTGGTCAACATACGGAGGTGGTCAACATAAGGAACTAGGCCTGCTGTACGGATAGGTCCAGTCTATGGAAATTAGGTCAGCTGAAGGAGACAGTCAATGTCAGGAGGTAGTCAACTACAGAGGTTGAAGTGTGTGTGATTTTGATTTGAACCGGCTTTTTTTAGTGAATGGTATCAGCCTTTCCATGCCAACATTTTCGTTTCATCTAATAGTTGTACTAAATGCTTTATATGCAAATTTCTCTAACAGAGATAACTTCTGCACTCGTTTCTCAGGCCATACATTTCACCTGGTTATGGCTCTTAAGCCCTTTAACCTAACGATGTTCCCTTTTTCACATCCTAACCTGTTGAAAAGATCAGGTTACTGTTCTGCACAACGTTCCACATCCTGATTTTTTTTCTTGTTGCGTCCTTTTGACAACTTCTTTTTTTTTTTTTTTCCTTTTTTTGAGACAGAGTCTCACTGTGTCACCCTCAGTAGAGTATGGTGGCGTCACAGCTCACAGCAACCTCACAAACTCTCAGGCTTAAGCGATTCTCTTGCCTCAGCCTCCCAAGTAGCTGGGACTACAGGTGCATGCCACAACGCCCGGCTGCTTTTTTGGTTGCAGTTGTCATTGTTGTTTAGCATTCCCAGGCTGGGCTCGAACCCGCCAGCCTCATTATATGTGGCTGACGCCCTCCCCACTGAGCTACAGGGACCGCCTCCTTTTGACATCTTTTAACTTGCTCCTCTATAAACAGGACTTTAGGTTGAACGTCTTCAGGGGTTCAAATTAAACATTTTGGGGGAAAGGCCATTCCCTGACTCTGGTCCTAGGTGAGAGTCTTCATCTGCAAACTGGGGCTGTTGCCATCTCTCTACCTGACAGGGTTTCTGTGAGAAAAGGGTGAACAACAGAGGTTGGACGGTGACATTTGCCTACTCTTCTTCTCTGCCCCCGCCCCATCCCTGAGATTCTCTTACTATCTACGATGTCATGGAAACTGTCTCTGACCTTCCCTTTTTCAGATTCTTTAAGAAAACATCCTCAAAAGTCAAAACTCAAGAGAAAGAGGATTAAGGAAGTCCCAGATACTCCTGAAACCAGCCCGTGAGAAGACCCACTGGCACAGAGGCCCAGCTCCCCGTGGCGCTCAGAGCACTCGTGTGTCTGCAGTCCCTCTGCAGCTGAGGGGACCAGAAAAGGGAAAGAAGAAAATGTTCTTTAGCGAAAGGATGCTCAGGTCATAATTGTGAATAAATGGGGTGGGAAATAAATATCTTTAAGAGAGTTCTATTTTACTTGGGTGACAGTCATCATTTGTTCTTTTATTTGTTGGAAAAAAAAAAAAGAAAAAATATTTGCCAGCTCCCTTCCAAGTAGAAGGTGCTCCACAGATGAATAAGAAAGATGTGGTCACGTGCGTCAAGGACCATCACAGTTTAGAAGGAGAGACAGACACAGAGATCTGCTGGGCTTGGCGCCCGGAGCTCAGTGGTTAAGGCGCCAGCTGCAGACACTGCAGCTAGCAGGTTCGAACACGGCCTTTGTGGTGGGTTCAGGCCCAGCCCCCGCCAAACTGCAATAAAAAAATAGCCGGGCATTGTGGCAGGTGCCTGTAGTCCCAGCTACTCGGGAGGCTGAGGCAAGAGAATCACCTAAGCCCAGGAGATGGAGGTTGCTGTGAGCTGTGTGATGCCACAGCACTCTACCACAGGTGACAAAGTGAGACTGTCTCTACAAAAAACAAAAAAAAACAAACAATAGATTGGGCCAGGTGCAGTGGCTCATGACTATAATCCTAGCACTCTGGGAGGCTGAGGTGGCAGGATCACTTGAACTCAGGAGTTTGAGACCAGCCTGAGCAAAAGTGAGACCCCCCATCTCTTCTAAATATAGAAAAAACTAGCAGAACATCCTGAGTTGTCCCAGCTACTCAAGAAGCTGAGGCAGGAGGATCACTTGAACCCAGGAGTTTGAGGTTGCTGTGAGCTACGATGACACCACTATCTATCCAGGCTAGCAGAGTGAACCCCCTCCCCCCCAAAAAACCCCCAACAGATTGGGCCAGGTGCAGTAGCTCATCCCTACAATTATAGCACTCCGGGAGGCTGAGGCTGGAGGAGCGCTCGAGCTCAGGAGTTTGAGACCAGCCTGAGCAAGAGTGAGAATCTGTCTCTACTAAAACAGAAAAATTAGCTGGGCATGGTGGCATGTGCCTATAGCTGCTTGGGAGACTGAGGTAGGAGGATTGCTTGAGACCATGAGTTTGAAATTGCTGTGAGCTACGATGATGGCCTCTGTACTCTACTGTGGGCAACAAAGACAGACTTTGTCTCTGGAAACCTCCCCTCCCCCAATTTCTGGCTCCTTGTAAAAACTGTCTATACTTGGGCTTTCATTTGTGCATGATGACTGTAAAAACTGTCTGCACTTGGACTTTTAGTGCACATGACAACTGGCCGGGGCTGAGGAGCAGTTGCACGGGCCTCGCTGATGCACGTTCCAGTTCCCCACAGTCCTCAACCCTCACTACTGCCTTCCACACTGGCCCTTTTCAGACATTCAGATCACCAGTGTGACTCTGGTGTCTGGTAATAATTTGCTACCCCTGGAGTATACAGAGGCAATGAAAGGGTGCAGAAAAGGCAGAGTAATGAATTTATGAGTTTATATAAGGCAAAATTGACAGTTTTTAGAGACAGATTTGGGAGCTCAGAAAGGGAGGGAGGGAGGAGGAGGAAGTGAAGATGGTACGTTGCTTCTAGCTAGACAGACCTGATGGCATTTGACTCCTGGAGGGGAAGCAGGTCCAATTATTTCCCAGAAACACAGGAGACAGGTTAACCCAGTGCTTCCCTGGAGCAGGAAGGGCGGGTTTCCGTCCATCAGTTTGTATTGAGGACTGGACATCATCATAGACTTAAAATATTAAAATGAATATCAATGTGGTCTTGAAGAATAAGCACAAGGAAGCAGAATAGCATGACAAAAAAGGAACGGAGATGGCAGAGAGAAGCCCTTGCCACCTGGAAGTGGCAAGGTGAGACTGTTAAGGCACGGGCCTGGGGTCAGCCGCACTTGATGCTCCCTGACAGCTTTGACAAAGCAGGGAGGGTTTGAGAGGGAAGGGCAGGCAAGCTGGAGCGTATCCATGATGATTATGGGCTCTTCAGTTTTGTCTCTGGCGAGCGATTACACTGACAAGTGAAATTTGGATGTTTGGGAGCGTCCAAAATAGCAAGGTGTGCCCGGTAAGCGGGGCTGCACCGCCACCTAGCGGGAGTTTGGGACACTACAGCCTTATTCTTCCGACCAGTGCAGGGCGTGTGAAAAGTTGCCAAGACCTTAGGAAGGCAGGCTGGGGAAAATTTGTGTGAGCCAGAACAGTAGGGAGGTCGGAAGACAAAACCGACAAAAGGCAAGGCTTGGTTTTGGAGCCCTCTTATCTCTTTCCTCAAATTCAACAGGCTAGTAGATTCCAAAAAGCAGCTGATGCATTATTGCCCTGCTCAAAACCCTCCCACAGCTCTTCATTTCAAAGAGCAAAAAAATCACTGCAAGGGCCTACAGCGGCCCCTAAGATCTATCTTTGTGGTCCACACATTTTCCAAGCAGCTACTGCCGCCGGCCCTTTCCCCTGGTTATTGCATCGTGTGGAATGCCCTTTCCCAACATATCCATTTGGCTAACTCCTTCATTGCCTTTAGATCTTTATTCAAATACCACCTCCTTTATGTGGCCTAGTTTATCCCCTTGTTTAAAATTACAACCCCCCTCCCACATACTCTAAATACCACTTACTCTGTTTTTGTTTTCCTAAAACATTTAGATCCCTCCAAATACCATATAATTTATTTAATGATTATCTTTCCTGCTTGTCTTCTTTTCTTAGAATGTAAATTCCACAAGGGCAGAGATTTTTGTCTGTCTTGTTTTTGCTGTATCCCAAGCAATTACGGTAGTATCCAGCACATGGTAGATACAGAACTGAATGAATGAATGAATGAATAAAAAGAGAGGATTTTTTTTGAGACAGGTGATCACCTCAACACACTACACCCAGCCTCCTCCCACCCCTCAAAAAGGCTGGGCATGGTGGCTCTGGGAGGCCGAGCAGGGTGGATTGCCTGAGCTGAGGAGTTTGAGACCAGGCTGAGCCAGAGCAAGACCCCAACTCTAAAAATAGCCAGGCATTGTAGGCGGGTGCCTGTAGTCCCAGCTACTTGGGAGGCTGAGGCAAGAGGATCACTTGAGCCCAAGAGTTTGATGTTGCTGTGAGCTATGATACTATGGCACTCTACTAAGGGTGACAAAGTGAGAATGTCTCAAAAAAAAAAAAGAGAATTTTGACTAACCACTTCCTAGTTCAAAGGGGAAAACAGAGAACCAAGAAGGAAAGTAACTTCTCCAAGGTCACATAGGAGGTCAATGTCAATGACAGAACTGGAACTAGGACACAGACCTGAGGTCTCCCAGGCCAGCATACTTTCCATGCACCAATGGCATACAATCTACCTACTCTTGGTCAACACACTCATTTCTCACAAAATATAAATAATCCTTAAGACTAACTGTATTATTTCCAGGATTGTATTTTCTTAGTCAAGATATCTCTACCCAGCTTCTTTGTCTATTTGCCCTGGCAGTGGAGGCCCATTCACTGTCTATAGCAAATGCATCCTGCTTTGTAATCTTACTTACTCTGTAAACCTATCTTTCTGTTTCTCAATAAACTTTGTTTCATGTTTGCCTTAAAAAAATTAAAAGCTATCTCTACCCAAAGCATGACTCTGTAATGGTGAACTTGGGCCCCAAGTCTTGGCCACCAGAAACAGATGTAATTGGAGGAGGTTACAGGGAAGTAGGGAGCCTTGGTGGAAATCCCCAAATCATACCCTGTCCCATGCTGCCTTATGGGTAAGGCTCACTCTGGAGAAAATGCCTCATTAATGGCCAGATCCAGAAGACTCTGTCTCCTAGAGAATAAGGGGTATTTTCTCTAAAGTTTTAAATGGAAGAGGCTCCTAACCACTGGTGTAATGACTGAACATCCCCTGACCCACTCCAATCTCAGTCTGCCTGGAGTCACCCACAGTTTGCTCTTTGTAATAAAAGTATCACAAATGCATGTAGCTTGGAAGAGATAGCAAAATGTTTGGCATCCATTCTCATTGAATTTCTGTCAAACTTACAAAGGAGACCCCTTCCCACTGCAGAGAAGAAACTGGGGGCTTAGGGGCTAGCATGGCTGAGGTGAGATGTTGACTGGCTGGGCCTCCTTACATTATGCACTGTGCTTCCATCTTCTGACTTTATACCGTTCACTTGTCTTACAAGCAGAAACATTTTCTATTTTTAGACAAGCAATCAGTCTTTCTTTTGTGTCTGTTTATGATTTGAAAGGCCTTCCCCACTCAAAGCTCTATCTAAGATTTAAAATTCTCCTGTTTCCCTCTAGGACTCTCTATGTTTTTTTTTTGTTTGTTTATTTTTCTGAGACAGAGTGTCACTTTGTTGCCCTCGGTAGAGTACCATGGTGTCACAGCTCACAGCAACCTCAAACTCTTGGACTCAAGTGATTCTCTTGCCTCAGCCTTCCAAATAGCTGTGACTATAGGCGCCCGCCACAACACCTGGCTATTTTTTTGAGACAGGGTCTTGCTCTTGCTCAGGCTGGTCTCAAACTCGTGAGCTTAGGCAATCCATCTGCCTCGGCCTTCCAACTGCTGGGATTACAGGTGTGAACCACCACGCTCGGCTTTAGACTCTTCATGTTTCAGTATTTATATTTAAATCATTGGCCAGACATTTATTTTGGTTTAAGTTGTACGTAGGAATCCAACATACATATTTTATGATGGCTAAACAGTTGCTTTTGCATAAGTGGAAGTGTATTTAAAGGCTTTATCATAAAAATTCATCTTTTCTACACTTATTTGAGAATGCCACCCATATATGTTGAATTCCTGATTTATTTGGGTTTATTTCTGAACTTTCTGTCCTAATCCACGGGTCTGTCTGTCAACCTAGGGTTAGGATTTAATGAAAAAGAACACTGAGTTCTGTGGCTCATGTCTGTTATCTTAGCACTTTGGGAGACCCAGGCAAGAG